CTTCATACACACGTTTGCACACGCATCATGGCTCAGAGACAACTGCTCAGGAATGTGAGTCTCATGGATCTCAGTCCAAATCCCTGCTCCGTTTCCTGCCACTTGCATAATCAGAGGCAATAGCTTAACTTCAGAGGCCTCGATGTATTCCTCTGTAAAATGAGAGCAATATGGAGCTTACCCACAGGTCCAGGTGGGATGAGGGATCCAAACACTTGTCACGTGAAAACCACCGTAAATACCAGGGCCTTCCCTGAGTCCTTGTGAGTGCGAGATTATGTTAGTCCTCCGTCCTCTCTGTGTTTCCTCACCTTGCCTCTAGGACCACCACCACGATGAGAAATGCACAGTAATTGGAAGAAAATCCCTTTTGTAAACCTTTGGGTTTCCAGTGTCTTCTGAGCACACGCAAGTTTCAGTTGTTCCTTGGTTTATTGTCATAGGAAACACCAAGAATAAACTTTCATTATCTATGGCCAGGCGTTTAATATACCATGTAGTCGTCATCCAACAAAGAGATGGTTGTACCCTAAAATATTTTGCCTTTTAGTATGTATGAAGTCATTCAGATAATGAAATCTCAGGAAAAAGAAAGCTAAGGGATCATGCAAATCCATTCTTGCAGAGCTGGGCCTGTGGTTACACACACACACACACACACACACACACACACACACACTCATAAACATTAACAACCACCCACAAATATGTTTTATGAGCTTTCATGAGAAGCCTCCAGGGGCTTTTGCAAAGTCACCTGGTTAATCTCTAAATTAATCTTTGTGCAAACAAAATTCCTATCAGCTGTTTGGCAGGTGACCTCAGAGACAAGGCAATATATAAGCTTCTGACAGTCCATTGTGGGCTCGATGTCTTTAAGATCTCTCTTTTTTGCCCCCGACCAGCACACTGAATACTTCAAACTGTACTCCTTAAGTCCTGATATGTGCATGTATATGTGTGCAGTAGTAGGTTTTTTTTGCCTTTCAATTAAACTCTCCAGACTATAAACATACCCTCAATGTCCTACGTTTCAGGGTCATGGTCTGTTAGAATTGGAAAGAAAGAGCGATCATCTGGCCTGAACCCCTCTTTTTGCAACTGCATAAGATGATAGAAGGAAAACATCAACTTTCCTGCGTTCCTGTTATGGGTTGAATTGTGACCCCAAAAATGATATGTGGAGGTTCTAACCCCTGGTACCTGTGGATTTGACATCATTTGGAAATAGTGTCTTTGTAGGTGTAATTAAGTTAAAATGAGATCACACTGGAGTAGGGTGCACCCTCGATCCAATCTGATTGGTATCCTTATAAGAGGAAAACTCCATGTGAGGAGAGATGCACATAGAGAGGACCCCACGTGAGGACACAGGCACACAGGGGGAAGGCAGCCATGTGACCATGGGGAGAGAGAGACTGCAGGTATGCAGCTCTAAGACAAGAAATGCCAAGGGTTGCTGGAAACAAGCAGAGACTAGGGGAGAGGGCATAGCCCTGCTTGCACGTTGATTTTGGACTTGCAACCTCCAGAATTGTGGGAGAATAAATTTCTGTTGTTTTGAGACACCCGGGTTGTGCTACTTGGTTAAGGAAGCCCTATGAAGCAAATAGAATCACACAATAGAAAACAAGCGGACCATTGCTTGAATACTCTGCTGATTTTCTAGATTGATAAAACAAAGTGAGAGCAGCAGAATTTCTTTGTAAGAGGGATTAAATAACAGTTACATGATGGGAGATTGAAGGTGCCTATGCACAGTATGAGAAATTGTCAATTGCTGATATCAGAAAATGGGAGGGACCGTTGGAATCACGAGAGGTTACACCTAATATCCCTATTCCAAAAAAAGGAAATAGCAAGCATCTTAATTGCTAGACAGCTGATTTGGTGCTCCTTTGGAAGGGCAGAAAATGTAAGAAATTTAAAGCTGAACATATATTGCTCTCTTTCTTCTCATGGCCTTGCTTAGGGAAGTTTGTGAAAGATACTACTCATGCTTGAGACAGGTTTTGTTTTGATTTTTTTTTAAGATTTTATTTATTTATTTATTTATTTGAGAGAGAGACAGAGAGCATGAGTGAGGGGAAGGGTGGAGGGAGAGGTACAAGCCGAGGCCCCGCTGAGCACAGAGCCAGATGTGGGGCTCAATCCTAGGACCCCGAGATCATGATCTGAGCCGAAGTCAGACACTCAACCGACTGAGCCGCCCAGGCACCCCTTGAAACAGGTTTTTTCACCAAATCTTGATCAAAAAGCAATGGATATGATTCATCTTGACGGTGATGATAAAAATAATCCAAGTTCCATTACATCTGTTGCAAGGTTAAACTTACCACAAACTTGTGCCCTGGGGATGAAGCCCAGCCAAACCGCAAAGGCTAATCCAGAGAGAGAATTAGTGAGAATGACTCTTTAGACTCAAACAAGAATGCTTTCACCTCAGTTTGCTATTGAACCAGCAGTCAAATGACACAAAAGGTACTCATGAGACCAGGGATACTTGGAAGCTTGAGCTGTGATCAGTCTTTCCATTAGTCCTCTGGTTCTCCTGATCTCAGAGGGGTAGCCCAAAGTCTACGTGTTTTCAGCAGCCCTCATGATAAGGTTGAAGGACCCTAGAAATGCTGCCTTGAGGTGGAAAAGGAGCTCCATCTCAGTCCTCTGGGGTCCACTCTAGTAACAAATTAACTGAAAAGTAAAAATAAAATACAAGAGTGCACTCAAGTTTCATATTTTACATGGCTATTTGTTATTCCCTCAGCGGGTCTACTTAAATTTTCCTCTAACAGGCTGAACCATAGACACCATGTTATGTATGCCCTGATCAAATGTGTTACAAAGGCAAAGGTTTTTTTGTTTCTTATCTCCTGTCTTGAGACATGTTCTGTAGATCCTCTCTTTGCTTTCTATTAATGCTATTTTATACATACATCATAGGTGTCCAGTTACTTTTCAGTCATAAGAATAAGTCTCATTTTGAAAATTAAGACACTCTGGATTCAGTAAAATACCAAAACAAGAGAACTTATCCAAATGGCCAATACACATATGGAAAAAATAATTAAAGTCACTCCTATCCAGGGACATGCAAATCAAAGTAACAATACCATAACGCATAGCAGGAGGGGAAGAATGAAGCGGGGGAAATCGGAGGGGGAGACGAACCGTGAGAGACGATGGACTCTGAAAAACAAACAGGGTTCTGGGGGGGGGAGGGGAGGATGGGTTAGCCTGGTGATGGGTATTAAAGAGGGCACGTTCTGTATGGAGCACTGGGTGTTATGCACAAACAATGAATCATGGAACACTACATCAAAAACTAATGATGTAATGTATGGTGATTAACATAACAATAAAAAATTTAAAAAAACTGGTAACAGTTTTAAAGTTCTGCATTACACAGTGATGTCAAGAGTGCCACAAAAACATCCCCTCATACATTTTGACAGGAATGTGAATTGTTACAGAGTTTTTAGACAACAGTCTAGCAACATCCATGAAAACGTGAAATTAAACATTTCCTTTGACCCTGAAATCTCACCCCTGGGAATCTCTTCCACAAAATGAAAACGCAAATGTGTCAGAGTATACATGATAGAATCGTTATTAAAACATTGGTTTGTAGAGGGAAAAATGAGAAGACCAGTGAAAGTCCATCAACTGGAGATTGTCAGAATAAAACATGCTGCAGTCACCACAGTGATATTGAATAGTATGTAGTCATTAAAACAAAATACACGAAAGTTTATATAATAGGGCCTCACTAGGAAAGACAAGCAAAGAACAATGATCTTATTAACTTCAGTGTATGTACAAATAAAGAGATATATTTATGTTCATTAATTATATATAATTATATATTTTATATTCTGTTATATATGAATAAATATTGATTTCGTTACATATATTAGCTTATTGACATGAATTATGATTTATCTGGCTGTAGTGAAGGGCAAGTTTGGAGTTGGGAAGAAAGGAAGTAGAGAGGGAGGTTCAAACAAAGTAAAAAAAATGTAAAGTGATAATAATAGCAGGGTGTATGTATACTATGATCACACTAGCATGTGTATGCAATTATATACACACAATTATATTGCATAATTAAATCAGAGACAAATACAGGTATGTATAGATAACTAGACTTGGTGACTCTGTCCATTTCCAAAATTTTGGGACACAAATAAAAACCAGTAAAGCAAGTCCTATTTTCTTTTTTTTTTTTTTTTTTTTTGAGAGAGAGCCCGAGCAGGGGGAGGGACAGGAGAAGAGGGAGAGGGAATCACAAGCCCACTCCACACTGAGCACAGAGCCTCACACAAGGCTCAATCTCACGACCCTGAGATCATGACCTGAGTGGAAACTAAGAGTCCAACGCTTAACCAACAGAGCCACCCAGGTGCCCCCCTACTTTCTATTTTTTAACAACCCACTTATAGGAATTTTTTTTCTGTGTAAAAGTTTGTATGTGGCCAGAAGGGATTAGAACCAAGAGGGCAAGGTTGACAAGCTGGTATCTTCCCTAATAGCTCCAGTATTTCCTAGTCCAACCTGGTGCCCAGAGATCTGCCTTTTTCTGTCTAGTCCCTGAAGTTTAATGGCTTTGTGCAGAATAACCATTTGCTCAAACTAGGGGAAGTGCTTCATGCTGCATTAAGGAGAGCTCCCAAAACTTCTGGGTTCTAAAGGAATGTTTACCCATCTAAAGGACTACATAAATGTATCAGAAATTCTAAAAATTCAAAGATTGACTGTGGAATTATTAAGCCTCTCTCTTGCGTGTGGAAAGGAATTTTTGCTTTATTATTCAGATTTTTAACCTGAATAAAGATTCCAGGAATTCATTCAGTCTATAAATTGTGATCATCAATTAATAATAAATGTGTTTGTATCTTAGAAGGAGCTATTCTATAATTACTCTTATTTCTTAAACAACAGAAAATACATGCACTGCATAATATCTTTATTGCAGATATCATCTGTCATTGCTGTTCCTAATAGAAGTATACTTCCTTGCATATCACTAATATTTCAATTTTTAATGGGACAAGAAAACCTTTTCAGAATCTTGTATTATCACTAACTGCATTTGATTTAATGTCTTAGAGAAACACCCTTGCACTTGTCTTTGTTTTGTCTTTCAAATATTGAAGAAATTCTGGGAATTAAGACATATTTCCCCCAGAACATGCAGAAACAATAAATATTATGGCATGTTGGACAACTGTCCCATTTCCCTACTCAGGGTACTTCGAGAACGGAGCTTACCCCTGGATGCACAGGGACACAGCCACGTCAGTCATGTGACAAAACAGCTGCATCAGCCCCAAGGTGGGAAATCCTTTCCCAAGTGTTTTCTAACAAATTACTATTTTATGTTCACTGAATTTTTATCCTTGAAGGCAAGAGAGAAAATACATTTATGTGAGAGAGGAAGCAGGACTAGTTCAATTAATATCAGAAGAGACAAAGAAGAAAATAACATTTCTTGAAACTTTTTCCACAAGAAAGGAGCAGAAATAGGTATATAAATTGAGAAATTAAATCTCACTGTTTTCTGCAAAAGTGACATGATTCACATGAGAAAGAAGGAAATCCTGCCATTTGCTACAACACAGATGGACCTTCAGTGCGTTATACTAAGTGACATAAGTCAGACAGGAAAAGACAAATACTGTATGATCTCACTCGTATGTGACATCTAATAATACAGTAACACTGAACTCATAGAAGCAGAGAGTAGAACTGGTGGTTGCCAAAGGCTGAGAGAGGCAAGGGAAATTGAGGAAATGCTGGTCAAAGGGTACAAACTTCCAGGGAGAAGGTGAATAGGTTCTAAGGATCTAATGTACAACAGTGTGATTATAGTTAACAATACTGTATTATATATACTTTGAAGTTGCAAAGAGAGTAGATCTTCAATGTTCTTACCACAAAAAATGAAATGATAATTATATAATTTGATGGATGTGTTAGCTAACTCTATGGTGACAATCATATTGCAATATATGAGTCTATCAAATCGAAAGTTGTGCACCTTAAACTTACACAATGTTAAATGCCAAATATATCTCAATACTGCTTGAATGGGGAAGAAGCGGAAAAGCAAAATTGCTAAGCAAATAAAAGGGGGGGTTGCAATAGTATTAGCTACCATTTATTGGGTTCTTATCAAATAGCAGGCATAGTACTGTTTTAAAGTTATATCACTTTCATCCTCACACCTCGTCACAGTGCTATGCCTCATAGCACCATTTTCAGAATATGAAGCTCATTTTGCCTGGAGAAAAGGAAATTCCCAAACAAAGCCATATAACTCTTGGTTTTAGAGCAATGGATCCAGAAGAATTGGGTTTTGCTATAGAAAGTAATTGGGTTCCCCTCCTTAGTACACTGCGAGTCCCCAGTGCCACACATCACTCTGGGTCAACCCTTAAAATCTGTCCATTTGCAGGAACAGCAGAGGAAAGCAGAAAATTCCTTCCCAAGTCAGCTTTCTGTCTGAACGGCAAAGAATAGGTCAGGACTGGACTAACGGAGCAGCTCCTTATGTGTTCCAGTGTCCTACAAAAGACAAAGCATTGTTTGTTCACATCCAACTTTCTATTCCAGAATCAAAATTATATTCCACCTCGATATATTAGAGATCGTGGTTGGCAAGGTTTATACCATAGGTTTCTCTGCAAGAATGTCAACTCTGCACAGACAGAAACTTTTCGTCTTCTGGGCACATCATAAGGTTCACGGAATAAAGAAATGACCACCTACCTTAAGGGGGCGCCCTTGTCTGGTTCACATCTGTATCTCTCTTCCTCTGTCCTTGCATCACCTTCTTGCTCCTGGTGAAGCAAATGGAAGATAAGGCAGAAGCGTGGTTACATGAGAAAAGGCCTAAACTTGCTTTACTCGGGAGGAATGCATAGAAATATGATGATGACAATGCGCTTGTCCTAAGTGCTGGGTAGAAGAGAGATGCATAGATGTATTTTCATCTCATCCCAACCTAGAAGTTACTTTTCCCTCAAAAGGGCAAATCCAGAGCAGTGTATCTCAGAACACAGGCCTTCTTGTAGCACATACAGCAGGAAACAATACTTTTAATAATGATTTTGCTGTTGTTGTTTACCTAAGAGGAACTTACTGAGCAACAGCATAAATGGTGACTAATTTTTTTCCACCTATAGCTACAAAGATCTCCTTTCACAAACAGAAATTCTGGTGCATTCTATTGACTGGGCGTCAAAGGGTTCACACTGCTTTATATTCATCATTTTATTTACACCTCATGGCAACCTTCTGATGTAGATAATTTATGGAATGTTTTTCCAACAGAGATGCCTAGGGGATGAACATTCTCCGTAAACCATATGTTTATGAGAATTTTTTATTTTTTTTTGCTTTTATTGTTATTTTTTTTAGCACTATGGTGACCTGCAGGAAAGTGATAAGGGCGGACTTCCCAACAATATCAAGTAGCAGCTGACTACACAAGATAGGTGAGTTCACTGTGGCCAGCTCTCCAGACCCACTACAGCTTGCTATGTGCGAGGACCTCCAGCCAAGTGAGTCTCTGTGGGATGGGGATTGCATTCTCTTTGGATATCTATGATTAAATGAACAAAACTGTGGTTTTTATCAGCCAAGGAAGTATTATTTTACTGTAGCTTTGTTTCAGTTTCTGGTTTTTTTTTCCCCCCCTGGTGGCCTCTGATCCATAATATCTTGGTTTCTTCTATAGGTAATATAGGTAGGAACTATTACTAATAATTCCATTTTACAGATAAGAAAATAGAAATACAAAGAAGGGATTAAGTATCTTACTCAAAATCACAAAATTAGTAAATGTTAAGGCCAGGATATGGAACACTGAGCACTGTCTTTTTTCCATTGGATATTCTTTCCTGCTTTGTCAAAGATGAGTTGACCATAGAGTTGGGAGTCCATTTCTGGGCTCTCTATTCTGTTCCATTGATCGATGTGTCTGTTTTTATGCCAGTACCATACTGTCTTGATGATGATAGCTTTGTAATAGAGCTTGAAGTCTGTTAATGTGATGCCGCCGCTTTTCTTTTCTTTTTTAAACATTCCTTAGCTATTCAGAGTCTTTTCAGGTTCCATACAAATTTTAGAATTGTTTGTTCCAGCTCTGTGAAAAACGTCGATGGTATTTTGATAGGGATTGCATTGAATGTGTAGATTTCTCTGGGTAGCAGTCAAACTCTCACTCTTGCAGATGACATGATACTTTATGTGGAAAATCCAAAAGACTCCACCCCAAAATTGCTGGAACTCATACAGGTATTCAGCAACGTGGCAGGATATAAAATGAATGCACAGAAATCAGTTGCATTTCTATATACCAACAATGATACAGAAGAAAGAGAAATTAGGAGTTGATCCCATTTACAACTGCACCAAAACCCGTAAGATACCTAGGAATAAACCTAACCAAAGAGGTAAAGAATCTGTACTCTACAAACTACAGAATATTTATGAAAGAAATTGAGGAAGACACAAAGAAATGGAAAAACATTCCATGCTCATGGATTGGAAGAATAAATATTGTTAAAATATCTATGCTACCCACACAGTGATTTCTTAAATAAGGTTGCTTGCTCAAAGGTTATTAAGGTCTTTTCTGAAGAACTTTATACCAGGTCTGTACATGCACTTAATAAATACTTGGTGAAAGAATGACTGATTGAATTAATGAAATAATGAGTGAATGAAGCCCTAAAGAACACATAATATAAATTATGGTATTAAATTTATAAACAGGAAATGATACTTCTGCTCTGGAGGAAATAAAATTAAAACAGATTTCCTCAGGCAGTAGTAATAAAGGTGATTAGAAAAACAGAGACTTTGAAAACTGCATTTTAGAATAAACAGACCTGGATGTGGGCTAAGAGACCAAAGTCTGAGATGTAGCCTAAATATACCCTCACTCTTTAACTTTGCAGAAAGCCCTAGTATCACTGAGCCTCAGTTTCTCCTTCCATGAAAGGAGAAAATAATTGTTACCCTGCCAAACTCAAAGAGCTGCCAGGAAGATCAAAGGTACTCAGGGATGTGAACATGATTTATAAAGTGAATACACTATAGAAAGTAATTATTGGTAGAGAGGGTTGAAATGGGGAAAGTGCTTGAATGTGAATAGGGGGGCAGGACAGAGATTAAACAGGCCAAGAAATATATTAAAATCCATATTAAATAAATATCACACAAATGAACACACACACTTACACACGCACACACACACGCCTGTGAAATCCATTAGGTCCAGAGGAGCTTCTGAAGGGTTTTCACTGGTGGAGTGGAGGATTGTTGTACCTGAGTTGTTTTGCATCACACCCCTACCTAAGTAAGGCACTGTGAGGACACAGGAGGAGCAGCAGGGTTCCAGAATATCCCAACAGAACTGTGGGTCTCCCCGTCCGCTTTCTATCTCACTGGTATTTTCCTTCAAGGAGAAAGAAAATGTTTCCCACTGTAGAAGCAGATCATGAGAAAAGGTTAAGCATTTTTAACAGGGACTGGTAATGAAAATGTTAGGGTTTAAGGGCACCTGGCTGGAGCAGTCAGTTGAATGTCCAACTCTTGGTTTGGCTCAGGTCGGGATCTCAGGGTCATGAGATCGAGCCCCATGCTGGGCTCCATGCTCAGTGAGGATTCTGCTTGAAATTCTCTCTCCCTCTCTCTCTCTGCCCCTCTGACTTGTTCTCTCTCTCTCTAATAAATAAATAAATCTTTAAAAAAGAAAAGAAAATGTTAGGGTTTGGAGGACATAGGGTTTGGGAAAGGAATGGTATCTGCAAAAAAGATGGGTATGTCCTGGGCACAGAAAAACAAGGACCCCTAGAGTGATGCTAGACATCTTTTTTTCTTTTTTTATTATTATGTTATGTTAATCACCATACATTACATCATTAGTTTTTTTTTATTCTTATGTTAATCCCCATACATTACATCATTAGTTTTTGATGTAGTGTTCCATGATTCATTGTTTGCGTATAACACCCAGTGCTCCATGTAGTACGTGGACATCATTTTTCTTATAACTCAGGCTTACCATATTTTATGAGTTAGTAGTTTTCATGAGTTACTTTATCTTTACAAACATTCTAGGGCACAGAAAATACTGCCATTTAGGATGTATTCTGTCAAGGGGAATATCTTCAGTTTTGATGAAAAAAATAGTAAACACAATAATCATAACAATAAAAAAGCTGCTAATATTTACTAAATGCTACTAAGTTCCAGAACATTCTATAAGAAACCTGACTTACTCAATACTGATCCTCCTGGCAGAGCAGGGTAAGTATCCAATTTACTGTTTGAAGAAAGAGAAATTAAGATTAAGGAAGCATTAAGTGAAGCACGTCCAAGGTCACAGAGTTAATAAGTGTTAGAATCAGGTATCCTTCCATTACACCACACTGCCTCAAACACATTTTGAGAAGGTTGGTCAGCCATTTTGTGGCTACAGACCAATCTCCAATGCTAAAATTTTGCATGGTGATGTGGAGAGAATAAATATTTACAGAGCACTTACTATGGTCTATACATATTTCGTGCCTGTGTTTCATTTGATCACAGAACAGCACTAGGAGGTACATGTCTCTATGTCAGGATGACATGGGAGAGCTGAGCATAGAATGCCTTCTAGCAACATGCTCCATCCTCCAAAACATACACTGCCTGGTACGATACATTTTATTTTATTTTATTTTATTAATTTATTTTTTTAAAGTAAGTTCCATGCCCAGTGTGGAGCCCAACTTGGGGCTTGCACTCACTACCCTGAGATCAAGAACTAAGCTGAGGTCAATAGCTGGACACTTAACTGACTCAGCCACCCAGGCACCCCCAGGAAACATTTTACTTTTAGCTTCTGTCAACAGCTGACTTAAATCATGTGAATATTCTACTCTACTCATGCTCCCTGCAGAGTGGAATCACTAGATTTTATCTTCGTTGACTGAACCACACTGGCATATCTTCAACTATCTCTCTGGGCCGTCATATGACATTTTGCGTTGATTGTGTTTCTTCTCTGCACAGGAAAAATTCCATTCAGGTAATTGGCTGTTTAATATAACTTTACAGTATCTTCATTTGTTAACAAATGTATGTGTGCTTGAGCCAACCTGTTGCATAATTACGTGGCAAGTACCTCTCATTGCTTCGCACATGCAGCTCTATAGTGACCAGCATATTCCTATTTCTCCTGGCAAACAGCCTTTTGCTTTGACATTAATTAGGTTTTGCTTTCTAAACCTCCTATAACTAAATATATGAAAAATAAAAATAATTATTTAAAAAAATATATAGTTGAGAAAAGAAATACGCACTGCTTTGCATCACTGAAGACATATGTACATATGAATGGAATAAAAGGAGAAAACACACAAGTGTAGTTGGATACACCATTCTGGGAAATACTGCTACATTTCTTAGAGGGAGACAAGCATGAGGTGAATCTAACAACCCACCCAAGTATCCACAACACCCGGCTTCTTTAAGTTCCTTGGGGACATCCGTGCGAGTCAGCCTGAGAGGTCACATAAAATGTTACCTGCTGACTTTCTTCCCACCACCCACTGTGGTGTAGTCTTCTGTCCCCCTGCTCTGCATGGACTGCAATGGAGATACCAGCCACATGGGGCTGACCAGCAGGAAGAGTCAGCCTGGATTAATCGGGCAGCTCCTGAAGAACCGTGCCCACTGCAAATGTGGGCTCGATGGGCAAGTTCTTGTTCAGTTAAGTCCTCTTTGCAGTTCCAGAAGCATCCATACAAAATGATCCACTCAACACACAAGAGTTAGAACTAGATAGGTGGTTATTGTAGAAATGATGGTTGAGTGATTGCAGTGACCTACCAGTGATTTGTTCCAGGTTAAAAAGGGATGAGGGAAGGACATCTGTACCCCAACAATGTCACTGGTACGATAATAGGAAAGACAAAGGGAGCAATGACAACAGCCATGAGAATCTTGCATAAAGTAACTTCAGAACTCGAATCTTGCATAAAGTAACCTCAGAACTCGAATCTTGCGTAAAGTAACCTCAGAACTCGAATCTTGCATAAAGTAACCTCAGAACTCGAATCTTGCGTAAAGTAACCTCAGAACTCCCGGTGGTGGCCATCATCACCACATCTGATATGCATTTCAAGAAATCTGTTCTCCTGGGCCATCTCCTGTCATAGAAAAAGTCTACAGCATGTTTGGTTTTACAGTTCTGAAAAAGGATCTGGCGCTATGAGAAAATTAGGGTTTCAGGCAAGAAGCCCGGTCAAGCCAAAACCAGTTGACAGTAGGACCCTAAAAAGAACTAGACATTCAGATGAGAAGCTGTGACTAAACAGAGTAGAAGAAACTCAGGTGGTAGTCCAAACTGCTTCGTGGGAAGCATTATACTGGGGCAAATGCACTTACGGCCCTAAGGAATTCACCAGCCATGAACACACACAGTAATTGCCCACATACATTGAGAAAGGAGAAATAGACTGCTCACATACATTTGTGTCCTTGTCCCCAGCAAAGTGTCCATGACAGG